ATAGGCCTGCAAAGAATGTTCCAGAGTATAGTTACTTTTTAAAAAGTGATGAAATGTGTGTTAGAAAGGAGAGACTTGTTTTGCATGTTACTTGTTACACCATGCTTAAAAGCTTGAAGTAATAAAGCTGCTCCCTTATTGGCATTAAAACTAATTTTAGTGTATTTACTCATTAACACAGCTCTGCACTGCTGAGCATTCTGCTCACACGGCTGTGTACAAATCGGTTTGTAATGGCACTCGAGGCATTTTGAGGAAGAATGGGGGAAAAAAGGAAAGGAAATAACCTAGTCTTCTAAATACGTTCCACAGCTATCAACAGTACCAAATTGCTACCAAGCTGGTATTTAATTGCAGCTTTCAGTGGGTGAGTTTTCCTGCCTATTCATTGCTTACCTTACTTGTACAACTTACGAGTCCTTTGTGCTTTTATTTGGTTTACAGTTTATTTTTCGGACGCCACTAGTTTTCTGTTGTGTTTGACCAATCTACCTATAATGCTGTCAGAAGGAATATTTCTGGTGTTGAGTCTTGCGTGAGCATAAAACTGGGTTTCTGTTAATCTGAGGAATCTTGGCAGCTCTCCCAGACTCTTCATCTTGATGCCTGCAGATTCTTCAAGCACTGTGCAGATCACTTAAGTACAAGATGGATCTATTTCATTATATCGGAAGACAAATACATGAGTATGTGGGATGTGTTTTAGATTAAGCAGATGAATTTTAAAAATTTATCAGGGGAATATTTTTCCTTAGAGAAATTTCAGCAATTTTGTTTCAATTTAATTATTTTAAAAATATTTGTATTACATTTTAACTAAGTAGAATTAGTAGAATTAAGATGGGTAAGATGCAGCTTTTGCATCAAGAACATATAATTTGAAGCAGATGACCTGACAATATTACCAAGACACATAAGAGAAACCAAAGTATTAATGTAAGGTGGTGGAAGTTAAGTGGTTTGCATTTCAAGCTCTAAAAAGACAGCTGCTATACTGAAGAACGGCAGTCTAATACTGTTCTTTGTAAGTCCATACAGTAGAAATTAATCTCCTGCAGCCTTCCTAGTTAAAATGAACAACTGAAACGGTGGTTATAAGGAGTTTGTGTATTGAAGTAGCAACTGCCTGTTGTGCTAGATAGGAAGTGTCTTAACTTTCTTTTTAAAAAATGGAGGTGCTTCACGTGGTAAGTAGTTTAATAAATGTGTGAAGCAATCAATCAAAGAGTTCACCAAAATGGCTCAGAAGATGCTACTTCAGAAGACATTTGGCTGATGCAGCTGCAAAACACAAGTTCGTTATTATAACAGCTTCCCTGCAGATTATTCCTCAAACTGTTTCATGGTTTTAAATAATATTGTTAATGTAATTAGCTAATAGAAGGGTAGGAAATTAAAGCTGTCTGCAAGGGGAAAATATTCAATTGAAGTGTAAAGTGAAATTTGAAATGAAGTGGGAGTCAATCAAGCAGGCACTCTGGGAAAGATGCTGAAAACTACAGGCACCAAGGAGGTTTTTGCAGAGTACTTGTTCCTCAGTGGCAACATGATCCGGAAGGAGTAAAGACAGGTGCAGGGACTAAGTCTCCAGTCCAAGGGAACTATTAACATGGGCTCAAATTTAAGCATGGGAGAAGCCTGGCTGATGAAACTGGGACCATAAATGTGACACTGAATTGGCACTCTAATTGTCATTTAGTAGCACAGAGATGATAGTTGGGAAGATCCCTGACCCTGATGCAGGACTCCACATTTGTCAGTGTTGAACTCTGAGGTTCCCACCAGCCCACTTCTCCAGTCTGTCTGGTCCCTCTCTCTGCCAGTGTATCTACTGCTCCTCCCAGTCTGGTATAACCTGCAAACCTGCTACAGATGATCTCTGTCCCATCATCAAGGTCACTGATGAAGATATGAAACCCGCTCTGTCCCAGAATCAAGCCCTGGGTAATGCCACTCATTACCTGGGCTGCTGGTTAGTCTTCATCCCATTCACCATGATGCTGGAAGCCTGCTGGGCCAGTCAGCTCTCCACACACCCCACCATCCACCTGTCCAATCCAGATTTGGCTTTCCTAATTCCACCTCTGCATGCCTGGGTGGTGTTTCTGTATTTCATTTGGTTAGCCATTTTGGTCTCTGGTTTTGCTTCCTTTACACTTTCTGTGCTTAAGCGGGGCCAGGAGTTCCCTATTCAGCCAAGCTGCCTTCTTGCTGTGCCCATTTGTTTTCCTGCATGTAGGAAAATGGATCATTCTGGGGTTGTGAGCGGTTTGTCCCGGAAGATCAGCGAGCTGTCCTGATCTCAGTTGCCTGTAAGGGCAACCATCCATGTGACCATGCTCAAGTTTCATCTCCTGTAGTTCAGTGTCTTGATTATGCTAAATGCCTTCCTCAGTTTCCTCAGGATCTTAAATTCTACCATCTGAGGGTCATTTCAGCTAAGGACGCCATTGACTATCAAATTTCTGAACAAATTTTCCTTATTTATGAATACCAAATGTAGGAGAGATCTCTCCTGCTGGGTCATCCAGCACTGGTGTCAAGAAGTTGTCCACAACGCACTTCAGTGCTCACTGCTCTGAGAAATGGTGATGTAGGTTGGAGTAAGGTTATAGCGGTAACTGTAAGTGCTGATAACTTTAGCTAGAACCTTTTCTGCCCCGAGATGCTGCTGTAGCTCCTTGGTATATTTTACTGTACCATCGAACAAGGGGTGGAGCTGTGTAATAAAATATCCTGTACTGAGTAGTCTGCAATAGCAAGGTTAGCCTTCGGGGCACAGGGGCCCTCCCTGAGTCCAGAAGAACAGCTAAAACATGGTGCATTTCTGTAAGAAACTTAATTATGTGTACATAAAAATAGTTTAGATTTTGCAGTGAATGTGAAATTAATGGTGTAGTCTGTTGATAGGGAGGGGGGTGCTGGAGAATACTTAATTGTGATCTGTGGCTGTTAAAATGTGGAAAAGATAATTAAGAAGATATTCTTGAGTACTTGTCTTTCTGTGATCTGTATTTTCAATACCAAAATATGTACGTCCCTAGCTCTGGGAGTCTTGCAGAGTTGTGTAAAGATACAGGGATTGAAGTAAAAAGTCTTGATTTTAGTGTCAAAGGAAGAAGAAACATGTTATTGAAATGTAATTAAACTGGTGATTGTATTTACACCAGTACTTGTTGGGGGAGTGAAGCTTTCCCGGTTGACAGGATGGGCATATCTGGGAGAGGAGATGAAATGTGAATGGGAGCTTCAGGAGGGGTGGAAGATGCGATGGAGCAGTAACAGGCACACCGGTGCAAGGAAAGGGGAGGAGGACATCGTCAATGTCCCCGTAGAGCTGGGCTTCATTTGTGGTGGCTGTTGGTCCCAAGAAATACACCCTTGTCTTTGTGGTACTGTGGATGGTAGTGTTTCATATGAAACAATGAAGTGTTTCATAGTTCTGCCCACACACCTTGATTACATTGTGCAAGTCTGATACAAGCAAATGGTTTGTTCTTCCAGTGTTGTCAGTATTTGCCTGGGAAATAGAAACGAAAAAATGAGAGTTCTGCCAATTCAAGACCTACGTGTGAGATGATGCTTTGGTTGACGAGGTTTTTTAGAACTTAAAGTCAGGTTTTTGATGATAGACTTCTCAGTGCAGCTGAGACATTCTTAGTGTGTCTGCCTGAAGGTTTGGTTGTTCAGATAACATTTTCTGGTTTAGTCAGGTTTTTTGTGTGCCGTTTTCTCCTTGTCTATTGAGACACAAGTCCACATCTTCTGATAGTACATTAAGTGGAGATGCTGCAGCTCTCAACAAAACCTGTGTTAGTCCTGAACTCTTTCTGGGGAAAATCTGAGCTGTTTTAGTTAGCTTCCATAATTAAGAAGTGAATAAAGGTATTTGGCCACATAGATTCCCATGTGGAAAATGTCATCGGGTCTCTTAAGCTTGGTAAATACTTAAGAATCCAGAAAAATTCAGCGTAGCCTGAGCTTTAAGTTTTTGTTACTAATTGTGCTTCCTGTAATACTGTGTGGTAATTGGGGTCCAGCTGCTCAGAATATTACTATTAGATTAATGGATGGATTGCTTTAATAGGATTTGGAGAACAGCTATTTGTACATTACAGCTTGTGCTGTTAACTTGCCAACCTTTTAATGCAATAATCCTGCAGATTTATCCTAGCTTTAAAGTAGTAATACAGGAAGACGTACATAACTTACCACAAAATGTTTAAGTCTTCGTATAATATGAAGCAAGAGTTGTTTATGCTTGTTAATATCTTTGTAAAATGATGTATGTTATGAGAAGGAGGAAAAGCATTGATGGAAAGAAAACAGTGATCTTGGTGAAAGTTAGGAAAAAGTCTCTATTTCCACTGCCATACCAAGTTTGTCACCACATCTTAACCACTGGCAGTAGTAGAACCCAACCAGCTCAGAAAGCAGTTACTATGTGAACTGACTTCAGTCTTTAATTGCACAACCTGGATGAGTTTGCACTTCTTTAAATGAACTTTGTGCGTTCTGTCTGTCATTTTTTTATGATTGAGAAAGATTAACTCTGCATGTTAATGAAATAAAGTAGAAAATTGGGTCTGGATGTATTTTTTAATAAATAATACAAGTTGGGATTTTTTATTGGTAAATGTTTGGTGTTACATCTGGTTTACAAAGAAGTGAAAGTATTGTTTGCTGCTGGTATGTCCTCTTACGAGGTCATATTTTATGCTCAGTTTTCACCCTTCCCTTTCCCTTGCCTCTTCCATTACAATGGAGATTTGGTCTGCTTGCTTGACAGTGACTTGTCCTTTAATATTTCCCATTAGTTTTCAGTAGTTACCTTTGCCTGCATGTCAGCCTTCAGTTTAATGGCCTTTTTTGTGTGTGTTCATTTTCTTTTGTTTCCCATCGTGGTTTTGTTTATTTGTTTTGTGTTTTTTTTTCTGTTTCCTTTTTTAAACCGTGGTGATGTTTGCCCTTCATATTCCCCAATGTTTGCACATGACAAGATGTTGCCATCCCAACATTACCTCCCACTTCACTGACCAGTGCCACTAATGACCATCTAGCACCAGCTACAACAGGACCATTGCCTTCAGCCCCGCGGGACGTTGTGGCCACCCTCGTCTCCACTCGCTTCATCAGACTGACTTGGCGGACTCCTGTATCAGACCCTCAAGGAGACAACCTCACCTATTCAATCTTCTACACCAAGGAAGGTATAAACAGGTAAAGATCTTGATGTGTAAAATAGGTCATGCTCTTTCATGACTCTTCTTCATGCTAGCTTTGCTTAGAAGCACTATAAACCTTAAGTCTTTAATACTCAAAGCCTTACAGGTTGCAGAATCCAAGGGGTAAACCTTAAGTCTTTAATGCTCAAAGCCTTACAGGTTGCAGAATCCAAGGGGTTGTGTTGCATTCCCTCCTGCACCCTGATGAGAGGATTTATTTGCTTCGTTGCTGCATATACGTATTCTTATGGGCAATGCTTGTGCATCATTTTGATTGACTGCAAACAGTTGCTACCTGCTTTTAGCAGACTGCTTAGAAACTAAGAGCAAGCATAGACTGTAACACCTCTTCAGGAACACTGACACTGTGATAAATGCCATCCACCACAGGCACAGAAACATCCTCCAGATAGTCCATGTGCTATCGAGAGCGAGCAGTCACTTCAGACTTCAAAATCCTGTAAATATAGTCTGATTCTAGAGAATCATGTGGTAGGTGCTGGTTAAATGTTGTGGTAGGTGCTGGTTAAATGTTGTGGTGGGTGCCGGTTAAATGTTGATTCTCTTCTAGTAATCCCTGTAAATAGAAATTTCAGGAATGTGAAGCATTCATAAGTTTTTGACCTATTATCCCAATGGTTTAGTTCAATATACCCCTTTTTCTTCCCAATGGGATCTACTGCTCAGAATTACAGTTTCAAATTGTTGTGATAAGTTTGAAGAAGATGGAGCTAACAATCATTTTGAGCAATGCTTAATTAATTGCAAATTAGCTTGATTATCAGACTCAAGAGAAAATGATCTGTCTACTCACTGACTGGAGCATAAGACTCAAAGTTAAGAAAATCATTTGAAGAGAATATAAAACACACTACTGCTTACGGTGAATTGCCAGTCTTTCTTAATTCTGTGGATAAACATCCATCCAGGCTCGTGGTGATTAACTGAGGCAATTAGTAAACTTTTCTTTGCCTCACAAATGTTGTTGTTCTACTACTTCCTTACTTTGGTAATATTCATTTTTATTGGAGATATTTTAAGTGAGACAGGAAAAAAGGTGGGATGTTGCCAGCTGTTCTTGCTTCTCTCCTCTCCTCCTTCATGTTTCTGGTTGTAACTGCTCTACCTGCTGGGGTTTTAGAAAGTAATTTGCAGGAAATGGCTTCTTGCCTGTCCCTGTACTGCTTTTGAGGAAACAAAATGTATCCCCTTCCACTACATACAAGACTATAGAAAGCTAAAAAATACTCCTCTTGGGCTAAAAGCATGCGCAGAACAAAG